AAAGCTAAATCGGATTATTATTTCTCTTTCTGTGCAGAAAATATATTTTTTTGAAAATTTCGATCTTTTGTGGGTAAGGAACTAAAAGGAATGGATTGATATTGCTCAACGCTGAACTCGATCTAAGTTTGACAAAAATATTACGATGTACCAAGTTTGGACCAAATCGGGTACTCGAGAGTTATCGTGCGCAACAGCAAGCCAGCCAGACAGACAGACGGACGGACGGGCATCGCTAGGATGACTCCAAATGTCCTGAAATGGATTTGGTCTAAAGAGACCTAGAGTCTAAAACCCTTATTTCGACTAGGCACGTTTTGACCGTATCAAAGGATATATATCCCCTGTAGCTATATAGCTGAGGGTATACAAAAAAATATTTTTGCGAGGACAATAAGACCAACAAAAAAAAAATAATCGAGGGTTTAAAAAAATAAGTATTTTAAATATATAAAAATATGGATTTAAAGATTTTTTAAAAAATATTTCTTTAAGGATTTTAAAAATATAAAAAGGTGCATTTTTAGATCTTTTTTAAAACATTTCTTCAAGGATTTTTAAAAATATTTCTTCAAGGATTTTTAACAATTTTTTAAGGATGTTTTAAAAAATAAAAACGTGGATTTTTAATAATTTTATATTTATATTTCTCTAAGAATTTTTAAAAATATAAAACTTGGATTTTTGAAATCTTTTAAAAATATTTCTTTAAGGATTTCTAAAAATTTAAAAACGTGGATTTTTAAGAATTCTTTAAAAATATTTCTTTAAGGATTTTTAAAAATATAAAAAATTGTTTTTTTTTGTGAAGTTTTTAAAAAATTTTACTTAAGGATTCTAAAAATGTGAATTTTTGGATTTTATAAAAATATAAAAATATATTATTTAACGTGGATTTTTAAGAATTTTTTAAAAATATTTCTTTAAGGATTTTTAAAAATAAAAAAACTTGTTTTTTTTGAAAAGTTTCTAATAATATTTATTTAAGGATTATAAAAATATAAAAGTGTGTATTTTTGGATTTTTCTAAAAATAGTTAAAAAATATTTTTAGAAAAATCCAAAATTTTTTAAAATTATTTTCTTAAGGATATATACTATGCTCTGAATATCCTGAGCCGATTTTGTAGAGCGTTATCTGAATGAATTTGTTGAACAAGGAAACTTTGGAAGAAAATTTTACTGGTTATTGCGATGCAGATTGGGCTGGAAATTTGGACGACCGATCAGCAGCAATATCCTGGTCCACAAAAATTGCAAAAAACTGTGGCATTATCTTCAACAGAAGCTGAGTTCATGACAAAGCAACAGCAATACATGAGTCTGTTTGGTTGAAACTACTTGGGATGGAAATTTATGAGAAGACAACAATAAAATGTATTTGAAATATCTTTTAACAATAGATTTTTGCTCACCACAAAAATTGCAATATTTTAAAATTGATTAACTTTCAATTTGATTTTGTTGTAATTAATAATTATAATCATAAGTATATCATATAATCAAGATTTTATTAAAAAAAAACAACAAAAAAATGAAGAATATTTTTTAAATACTCTCGATTTGTATTTCACTTTTAAATGGCCATCAAAATTATCTGGAGTTCCTTAAAAAAAATTAAAAAAAAAATAAAATTATTTTTTTTGAAAGCTTCTCGATTTGCAAATCACTTCTAATTGTCCATCAAACCAATGCGGAGTTCCACAGATTTCCAAGGCATTGTCTTCATTAATTTAGATATTCTGACTTAAAAAACTTTACCTTCGAATCAAGACAATATCCTGCCATTGCCAGTTTTTGGGAAAATCGTTTTACTCCCCAAAAAAATCAACTTGAAAAACAAACTAAAAATATATTTATTTTGAATGTCTTCTTTCCTTGAAACAACAAAACAGAACAAAAATTGCTACTAGGAAAATGTAAACACAAAAAGTTGTGAGTTTTAGTTTTTGTTGTTTTTGGGGGCCAAATTCGGCAGCCATCATCCGGCGGCACAAGTCAATGTGGCGCTATGAAAAACTTTAGCTGCTGATTCCCGGCAAAATTGTTTGTTTGCCGAGGCGATGTCGATGCCGACGCGACGCTTGTGTGGGGAATTAAATGGAGTCTTAACGTTGCAAAGGCAAAAAGAGATTTATCAACAACATACATTAGAAGTCAAGTCGACGACGAAAGCAAAAACTGCAACGCAATAATATCTACTACAAAACAAACTACGCTGACGACTGAGACGAAGGCGTCGAAGAATAATATTGGCTTCTGAAATTTATGCGTTGAAGATGAAAAAAAAACCCAACAGAAACTGCGCCAAAGTGAATGAATGATGCCTCCGATACTGTTTTCGAGATGTAGACGATAATTATAAAGTCAAACACAAAAATGTATGCGGAATTTCAAATGGGAATGAGACGAGGAGGAGGAAGAAGTCACATAAAGGAAATATTTGCAAAAGCATAATTGCTGCAAGGTCATTAAAAATTTACACAGGGCGAGGGAAGTAAACATTAAATGAATTGGCAAAATACTTTCAAATTTAAAGAGAGAGAGAGATAGAGAGAGAGAGAGAGAATTTTGTGAATAAAACAATTGAGAAGTAGGAATCAGGTCTAATGTTGCTGATTATTAGGAAGGTTTTCCCCAAAAAAATATCTGAGTCTTTCAAAAAGTCGAATCTGATAGCCCGCCTCTTCGCAAGCTGCTGGAGGTGGATATATGCGAATTTAAATAACCTTTCGCGAATCGAATTGCCAGCCAGAATTGCCAGCAAGAATGTAGTTGTTCAATCTTAAAGAAAGGAATTTAACATCGAAATAATGAAGAAGTAAAAAATCTGGGCTAGTATACCGGAGTCTTAAAAAGGTTTCCAAAAAATCTCAACGTTGCAGCAAGAGGGCAAGACTGATTTCTCACCCCTTTACAAGTTGCGAAAGGTAGAAGGTCTAATGGTTTTTGTTGATAAATGCAAATTTAAAATCAAAAAATTTGGTTAGTAGTTCGATACAAGAGCCTGTGATCTTTCAATCCAGTCCAGGTGCTGGTCTCTTAACTTAAGCAGGTCCATATAACGACACAGTTGCCCACAGTCCCTTCAAAAACTTATGACGACAGCTTTATTGATGGAAACCATGGATAAGGAACAATTTTTAATCACAGGATCACCAGAGGTTTTGAATGGGAACTACTGGTGCTGATTATAATTGACGACAAGTTATCCAAACATCTAAGGAACCTCTCCAGCCTACATAAAAAAGTTCTACCTGAAAAGAGCATTCCAACTTTCGGTTAGGTTAGGCTAGGCTACAGAATGTACACCTACACTGAAGTCGGCAGCTGCTTCATCCTAGAATGAATTGGTGATAAAGATGAATTAGCCTGCCAATGGCTGCGAATTGGATTTAGTCGCATTTGGAGCCGCTTCTTTCTTCGCATAGGGTTGTTATCCCTCAGTTGACCTCATCCTCCCTTCTCCACCGCCACTGGCTTTGAAGTGGATTTAGTCGCCTTTAGAGCCGCTTGCTTTGATGAAGTTGGCTCTTCTGTACACGGCTCGTTTTTCTCCTGCACTTCGGTTTCTTCACCTTAAACATTGTTGAGGTAGGAGAAGATGGCGCAGACACAGCTGGGCTCGGTAGAAACGGTTGGAAGCACATAGAGGCAGACTTGACGAAGTTGGCTCTTCCGTAGACGGTTCGTTTTTCTGCCTGCACGTGGTGACCACCTTCTTGGCAAACTTTACCCTGCACTTCGGTTTCTTCAACTTCAACACTGTAACGGTAGAAGAGATTGGCGAAGTCACTGCTGGGCGCGGTAAAGCCGGTTTGAACCATTCAGAGGCTGACTTCGATTGTTCTTCTTTCTCGCAGATTTTTTTAGAATTCGTCGTAGCCTAGCCTTCCCCAGAATTGGAGGATGGTATCTCCGGATCTGAAGCCATAGCAGCCTTCTTAGTAGTCTGCATAGCTTCTGCCCCGTTGGAAGCCACATGCCAAAATAAAAGCGGCGAAGTCACTGCTGGGCGCAGTAAAGCCGGTTTGAAGCACTTAGAGGCTGACTTCAATATGGTATTTTTTTCCGCAAATTTTTTCAGGCTTCGTCGTGGCATAGCCTTTCACACAATTGGCGGGTGGTATCTCCGGATCGGAAGCATAATATTGCTAAAATCATCAAAATACCGAATATATTGGGGCTATACGAAAGCGTGGACCTGCACAGATAATTATCTGTCATAGGCTGTAGTATCCATCGCGAACTTTCTGTCTTAGGCTATAGTATCCATTACAAACTTCAAATACCAAATTTGAAATAATTCAGGTGAATAATGTCGCTAAAAAATCGGGCATTCCGACTTCCTCAAAATTTGATATCAGAAAACCAGAAGTGAAACAATCTCCTTGGATAGATAGTTTTTCAAAAAAAGTAGAATAATTTGTCCATTGACACACCGTTGGTACCTTTTCTGCTGATGAGGTCTTCATTTAAGGAGACAAATATTACAGACGACAAGGCTGTTAAATCCAAGGCATCTTAATGCGACTTCTCTAAAAGTTGGTGCCAGAAAATTAATAATGAAGTTATATCCTTGGATATTTTGTTTTTAAAGGAAAAGGAAATAGAACTTTTCCACTGACCAATTGTTGGTACAATTGCTACTGCTACGAAAGTAACACCCGAGTCTTGCTGATGCCTTGGATCGCCTTAATTGCTTTTAAATGTAAATATTCCCAACTTTTCTTGAGCCCCCCATCAACAATTGCTGTTGTCTGTCTGTATTGCGGGGGCGTAATGAAATCCACATTGTCATTTAATAACCTGTACCTGGCTATCAATAACACATTAGACACATTAGAGAAAAATGGCTAATCAAATTAAAACCACACATTCAAATGGTGTTATGCCACCATTATTGGCTGGCAGCAACAACAATAACTATAAAAACGAAAACAAATGAAAACAATTACAAGCATTCATACACATATACATATATTTAAGCTACTTACTCACCTTCAATGCAAACAACATGATCCCTTATTTGTTGAGCGATCTGGGCATCCGTTATGGGTAGCAAATCGATTAAGTCGTAGATGGCATAGATCGATGGATGAACACTTTCGAAACGTTGAATTTCTTGACGTATTGCCAAAGAGTTACTAATTAAAGGTTGTGGTGGGGCTGGTGGTGCCGATACTGGCACAGATGGCAGCGGCTGATGAGCATGAGAATGATGAAGCGCCTGCGGTTGATGATGGTGTTGTTGAAGATGTTGCTGTGGTGTTAGATGAGTTGTTGCCACGGCTGTTGGTGGCAGTGGTACTGATGCTGCTGGTTGCTGGTGATGTGGATGATGATGCACCACCACCGATGCCGCATTGGCAGGTGTGGTAAAATGATGCTGTTGCACCACAGCCGTCGTTGAGGTCGCTGCCGCCGCCACCGATGACGATGAGAAATGATGATTGTTGTGGTGTTGCTGCTGATGATGGTTTCTCAACACCGCTGGTGGTGTTTGATTTTGATAATTATTCATGTTTGGGAAATTTTATGTGACTTTTATTTTTTAGCTTTTTTTACAATTTTATTACAACAAAACAACACTTCAGGCAACGCACAACGATATGACTTTTTTCGAAAAACTTTTTATTGACAGACTTGCTTCTTTTTTTCAAAACACACAACTGGTAATTTTCTTCACTTTCGTTACTCTTTTTCTTATTCGCCTATTTTTATTTCAAACATAGAAACACACAAAACATTAAAATGATAAAATTTGGAGACACCATTTCTTTGGTTTAGACTTGACACACAATTTGGAACGCCTACAGCATCTTTTTATTTTTGGTAAAAACCTGAAATGAGAAAAAAATGCGGAGAAAATTAATGATCTGCCAGAGAAAGGGGGGAAATATGAGAAATAATAAAACGTGAATTCATTTTGCAAATGAAATTTTTGGAAGTTATGATTTTGATGATGATCATGAGATACTACAATAATAAACCAGTAAGGAAAAGTCAAAAGTCGGGCGGAGCCGTCTATATAATACCCACCACCACTATGCATATTTATTAGAGCTACCGTAACAAAAGAATTTATTTGAAGTAGATCATACCCCTATCAACGTTTGGCTTTAGATCAGTTATAGTTTGGTTTCACAGGAAACTAACATATGGGAGGCATATCCAATTCTGAATCGATTTTCACTAAATTTGACGGAGACATTTTTATCTTCTATACTAAATAGCATTGGTATAAAGAGCTTCGAGAAGGATTTTTTAAAAAAAATTTATATCGGAGTTGAGTGACAGACTTAAACACCAAATCGGATGAGATATATGTATATGAGCTATACCTATATCTGAACCGATTTTCTCCAAATTTTTGACAGATATTGGCCATTTGGTGTACAATTAACCCGAAATCGGTGGGGAAATATATATGGGAGCTATATCCAAATCTGAACCAATCTGGATAAAATTTTAAAGAGGTATTTTCGAGCAGTATCTGATGACCGGTACCAATTATCATTGCTGTGGAATGCACATTACGAATGTGAGAGACTTAAACACCAAATCGGATGAAACATATATATGGGAGCTATAGCTATATCTGAACCGATCTTCTCCATTTTTCGGATGTATTAAAATTCAGGACTCTTTGAAAGATATTGGTCATTTGGTGCAGAATTAACCCGAAATCGGTTGAAGATATATATGAGAACTATAAATTTGACAGAGGTATATTCGAACAGTATCTGATGCCCGGCACCAATTATCATTCTTGTGGAGTGCATATGAGAGAGTGCAAGTGAGAGACTTTAAACCCCAAATTGGATGAAACATATATATGGGGGCTATAGCTACATCTGAAGCGATTTTCTCCCAGTACCTGCTTCTAGAATGAATTCAGTGGGATCAGGCCTACTTAAAATTCAGGTCATTTGGACTTTTATTGGCCATTTGGTGCACAATTAACCCGAAATCGGTTAAAGATATATGGGAGCTATATCTAAATCTGATCCGATTATCACCAATTTCAATTGGGTTCGTCCTTATGCCAAACAAACATTGTTTGGAAATTTTCATCAGAATTGGACAATAAATGCGACCTGCATTTTGTTCACAAGAATACATGGACAGACTGACTGACATGCATAAACCGCTCATCTTCTGCGATGGAATTGAATGAAGCTGCATGGTGGGCTGCGCAGCAGGGAATGGTTTTAGCAAACTTATAGATGATGATGGTATCTACGTCTGAACAGTTGCCAAATAGCCTGTGTATCAAGGTGGATAGCATGGAACATCTTCATAGTAGATGTTCTATCGTCTTGAAGTTTCGTCACATAATATATGGTAGCCAGGAACACTGTTATCACTTCCAGAAGTCACATATCAGATACTGTAGTGGTCAATCAATATACCTAGATCAGACCTACTTAATAATAACTGGGAGCTTGTTCTTCTTATCAATATTACCGACGAGAAAAAGCAAGGAAGGGTTTATTGGGAGAAGTATAGTTAGCAATGTGGGAAAGGCAGGGAATGCTTTTCGCAAACTTGTAGATGATTGTCTGGATACTTGTCAAATAGTCTATGTCTTTTGTTGGATAGCATGAGACATCCCCATAGTAGGTGTTCAATCGTGTCTCATCTTCACATAGTCTACAGTAGTCCGGAACAATTTTATCCCATTTTGTGATCAGATACCTAATATTGCAGTGGTCAATAAATATGCTTACCGCGATTGTTAGATCAGATATACGAAATTATAGAAGGAAGCTTATTGTTCTTCTCGAGATTATCGGTCAGGTGACCTCAGATATTCTGCAACCGGTTTCCGAACAGCTGGCATAATAGCTTATCGATAGATCAATCCATTGGCAACCCCCTCGAGCTAATTCATCAGTCACTTCATTTCCCACTATGTTGCTATGCCCTGGAATCCAAACTCTATAACAATTTTAAGGAAGACTTTAAGTGTGAATTCTTTCAAAATGCAGGTGGTGGAGGAATTGAAGCCGAACGAACGAAGATGATAGTGAATGAGCCCCTGGAAAGTTATCTGAAGATCAACCTCTTTAAACGAAAAATTTGTTTTCAGCGACGAAACTCATTTATAGCCCAATTGGTACTAAAATAGGTAGAATTGTCGATTTTACAGTAAGGATCAGTCAACGTTTTGTGTAGTTTATGGGCTGATAGCATTATTGAGCCGTACTTTTTTAGAGATGCACAATTGTGAGAAGGTATTCAAATTTTTGTTGCCCAAAATGCAAGTGCTTGTCTTGCATGACATGTCGTTCAACAAGATGGAGACACATGCAACGCGGAACTATGGAATTATTGAGAAGCAAGTTCGGTGAATATTTTATTTCACGTTCGAGATCGGTTAATTGGCAGCCTAGATCGTGCTATTTAACGCCTTTTTTGTGAGGATATGTTGAAGCTCATGTTTACATAGACATTGAAGTATTTATTCTTGAGATATAGGCCGAAATGTTGTATAGATTATGTCAAAATTTGAAATGAAAGACTATTCTGAAGCTCTTACGCTCTCACTATGCTTTTGCTTTACTTTTCTATCATCAAATTTTAAACTGGTCCCCAAAACAACTTGTTAAAGGCCTACTCTATTCAACGTTGCGGTATGGAATCTATGAGAATAGGTCTGACCAGAGTTTAAAACTTGAATTGCCAGAATCCAGTCAAGGAAATGTTTTTGATAACTGGAATGCTCTCCTGAGAGCAATAGCTTTTTTGCTTTCTTCAACAGATCTTGTAACTGGCATGTAACCCCTTTCTTTCAGGTAGTTTTGCTGAAACCTGCAGGATTTATGTTTATACATCACTCGGAAGAAGTGGCTCAATTCGTCTGGTGATTCATTACCAAAGATGTTCCAATTGCCTGGAATCCCTCTAAGCTTAATGGGCGACTTAGCTCCGTTTAATGTAGATGTTACTCCAACCATCATGTTACGTTTGTAAAATTAGCTTTATCACATAACATTTTGCATCATCAAGTTCTGACTAAAATTATGTCTACCAAGTTGTTATACCAAATCTTACATCTGGACTTGTCTTAGACTTTCATAAATTGTTTGGTACATTTTCAATACATTTGAAGATTCTGGGCTATTTTAGAAGTTACAGAAACAACTTTAGTATAGTAAAAACTCTTCGATTTTTTTTCGAAATTTTTTTCTAGAGGTAGGTACTTTTACCCTGATTCCGGGAAACTATTTATTTGGGGAGAAGGACCCCAGATTTTTGACCGAAAGTCCGGGTTTAACAAATTATGCGTAAAAAAATTATGCGTAAAGAGAAACTTCAACTGTCACAGTAAATTCCAATTAGACCAATTCATCCAACATTTTTTTTTTTTTTTTGATTTTTTTGCTCTGTTTTTTGCACAGGTTATTCATATTAAATTATATTCCTTCTCATGATCACTAAGAAGTCAAATGCCACTGTGCGGCGCTGTAATACTTGTTTCTCCATTGGAATTTAATTGAATCACAATTAACGTTATGTACCGAAAATAATTTGCATAATAAACAAACAGCATAGCTCAGAAAAAAGAAAATTCTTTCAAGAGAGAGGGAGATACATTAAAATATTTATAAATAATTACATGCATTTCATCTGTTAAAATAAATGGAAAAATTGGATGGTTTTTGCCACCGTTTCTTCTACACAACAAGAATTTTGATTGATGATGACACAGTAAACAACCAAACAGTGCACATACATACAAACACTCGCACACACAAAACAAAAGGGAGCAATCACCACAAGATTACAACATTTGGCACTTGTAACATTCACCAACCTCTCACTCTCTCTCTCCCTCTTACACTTGCTCGTATCATCAACAACAACTCATATTAACATTTTTCGGGCTTTGCGCTTTTTCTTATTTTTTTTTTTGTTTATGTTTTCCACACGTTTTGTTTATGTTTTGTAATTTTATATTCTATGATGCTTGAAAACTGAACCTTTGACAGGTTATTTTTATGGCCGGCGTTTTACGCGGGGAGAAAGCCCTTTATTGACATTGTTGTGTCAAATAAATTAATCATTGATTTTTGTTTCACAATTCTTTCCGTTGTTAGCTTATTAATTTTGATGAAAACATGCTTTTTGCTTACTTTTTTGCAGCCTATTCGTTGTTTGTTTTGTTTTTGTTGCCTAATTTACAACACAAATACAATCACGCAGCACACACTAAAAACACACACGATAGAATTCGCACATTCTTTAAAATACGTTTTACACACAAATTTTTAATTATACAAATGCAAAGCCTTCTTTTTCATAGACAATAAATTGCTATTTTTTTGTTTATTTATTTGGAAATTGTTGACGCCGCCTGCCGCACGGTTGCTAGCCTTTGAACGAGCACAACAAATAAAAACAAAAATCACATAAACTCCGCCGTTTAACCGTTTGCTACGTTTGATGTCAAATCGCGACTGACATGACATAGGGATACGTAAGTCGACTTTAGATTATTCGATTAATCGATTTTTGGTGTTGAAAAATTCGTCGCCTGTGGTGAAAATCGTAAAGTAGTTTTCTCGTTATCGATTACTTTTCCAGTAAGATTTACTTAGATATGATTTACACCAGGGGATTTTCTGATCGCTCTTTTATGTTCATGCATAAGTTTAGAAAATATAGCAAAATATAGTGCGTTCCATGGCAGTAGAATACAGGTAGATGCATCAACACTTGGGAGCATTGATATGTCAAAAAAATTTAAATGTTCTTTTAAATATAAGTAGAATTTTATATGTTTTCTTCTTCTGCTTGGTTTACCAATATTTGTCGGCGAACCAAAAATGTAACCATAGAGCCCATGGTAGAAGAATATAGGTTGATGCATCAACGCTTCGGAACATTGATATGTCAAATATAAGTAGATTTTTTTATGTTTTATATACGATGTCAATCGAAGGTAATTATAATATGCCTTTTCAGCTATTTTTACAAATTAGAATAATTTTTTGATTGGTTGGTTTGACAGTTAATTGTCCCATCAACTGTGTTGATGCGTCTACCTGTATTCTTCTTCTTAAAAATCGCAATTGAAAAATCCTCGAAACTCGAAATTTTGTAGACATTGGATGCATTTGGATAAGACGAGTCTTATTGGATGACCTATTAGATAGGCCTTGGGGATACCTATGGTACAATTATTGGGTAAGAAGTTACTGAGAAGAAAAACTATATATTCTCTCTTCCGAGAGAGAAAGAATTGCAAAAAAACGAACAGCATCTTGCAAAACATTTGTAAGATAACAGCTGATCCATCAAAACATCTTTGGTGCAAATCTTAACAGCAGAAATAAATTAATGCAATTTATTTGTTTTTACATTTTGTTAAAAGAAAACTTGACTTAGAAAAATAAAGCCTTACAAAATAACAGTATCGAAGATTATGACAAATTTCTCTTAAAAATACGAATATCCATTGAATCTTTATGAGGACTATACAGAGAAGTGGGCTCCCACCCAAGGTTCTATGGAAGAATTACTATTACTGGCTATCGACGGAGGTTGTTGTTGGTCTTCTATAATTAGGCGGTAAATTTCCAGAATACTTTTTGCGTTGCGCCTCCTCCCATTCAACAGGATGAGCTTTTTTACGATGTTGATGCATATTACCATTAGAATTGAACTCTTTGGGACACCAGGGACATCGATGCAGAGGCTTTCCAGTATGCATTGCCATATGGGACTGAAAAGAGGAAATAACAAACAATAAGCACTTCAATTCCATTTTAAATAACACACACCAAATACTAACCTTAAAATTATCAGATCTTTTGAATTCCTTTTCACAAATTGTACACTTGAAACGATAACCCATTTCATGGGTTTCATGTATGTGTTTCTTGAGTGCACGCAGATTAGGCGAAACTTTAGAACAGATATGGCAGTTATATTCACGCTTCTCCGGCGGATGTTTTTCTTCTTTGTGCAGCTTTAACGTTTGATGGTTGGTAAGTATTAGACCACATATATCACACGTAGCTGTTTTAACCTGTACTATGCCATCGTGCTTTTCCATGTGCCTTTTAAAGTATTGCGAATCAGGCAATGTTTCACCACATATTTCACACACTTTAGCATATACATTGAGATGAACGGCTTTTTGATGTTGATTAAGCATATATTCGTTGGCATAACTTGAAAAGGGAAGATATGCGGATAGGAGAAGAATATATTAATTAAACATTTTATATATGATTGCAATATTATTTTGGGTCAATTTTTTCATGATATTCATTAAGGGATTATCGGTGAAAATACATATAATTCAATAACATTGTTAGAAGATTTTTCAGAAAAAAGTTTGAGGAGCTGTAAGAGCAATAATCGTTAATTTCTAAGCATAAATTATGAGGGTCTATCAGTACTTTGAGGAACAAGCATTTATTGAACAATATTTAAGGAACTATCAAAGCAATAATGACAATATTTCTGAGTGGCATTCAGAGCAATAATCGTAGTTTTTGTAAACCAAATTCTTGAGTTATTTTTAAACCAGTAGTCATGCATTTCCTAAGCAGAAATTTTAAGAGGCTATCGTTTAAGTAATGTGGGTTTTCTAATCAATGTTTTTTAGAGACTATCAGCTAGCGTTAAAACTGCAATTTAAGGAAAAAAATCCATTTTAAGAAAATGGTTGACGGACATTATTTAGAAAACGAGCTCGTGATGTTAATAGTAAAAATACATTTGTAGAGTAGAATGACAAAGGTTTTGAATAAAAAAAATATTTTTCAAAATAGGCATTCTAAATTAATTGCGAATTACTTAAGCCAATGCCTACATAAGATCAGCCAAAAAGCCCATCTGACAGTCAAAAACACAATTGTGATTTGAAATTGAACGAGAGTCAAATCACATTAGTGCAAAAACTTCCAAGTGTATTGTTAAATCGTTGTTGAAAGTAGTCTTCCTGGACGACCTTATGTAGGCCTCGACTTATGCATTTAAAATCTCTTAGCATTGGTCTCAACGTTGTTACAATATCATAACCAATTAGAGCTATAGACTTATACTTTAAGAAACATTGTTTTATAGACTAAGTAACAATAACAACAAATAACACATACAATTTACCACAATCATTGCAGGGGAACTTCTTCTCCGACTCCGGTAGATGTGTTAACTTATGTTTGTCCAGCATATATTTTAACACGAATTTCCTATCGCATTCATCACAAGCAAATTTCTTCTCTTTATGCATTTTCATATGACTAATGAGGAATATGCGTTTGGTTAGAACTTTCCCACACAGATTGCACTTAAAATATTCCGGATCAAGGTGATAATTGATGTGATCTACCAAAAGATGGCGATTAAAGAATTTCGTGTCACAACACATAACATAACCCTGTTCGTTGTGCTCCTGGCTAAAATGTTGGCAAAGCAAACGAAAACGTTCAAATGTTTTCTGACATTTGTCACATGTTATCTTAAAGTGTTCCTCTAGGAATTTATCATATTCTGCACAATTCATTTTTGGAAGTGTGGAAGTTTTTTTATTTGTCGAAAGATTGGCACGTAAGGTGCTCTGTGGGGAGGAACTAGATGCTATTTTCTTTCGCTTTTTGTCATTGTCCTCATTATCTTCATAATCATCGTTGTTAATATTTTTCGTTTTATTGCTTTTCCTCGATCGTTTTTTGCTTTGTTGATTTTTAATTTTTTGTATCAATGGTAAATCATCATCGCTATCTGTCCGGTCATCTTCTTCATCATTATAATCGCTTAAATTGGAATCACTGTTATTATCAGTAAATTCCATAGGATCTTGTTCATTTTTAAAAATACTGCAAGAATTTTCTGATATATCATTTTTGATTTCCACATCTTCACTATCATCATTGCTTTCTAACATGTCTGCAATGGGTTCATCATATTCCTGTTTAATTTTAATGGGCTCATCTAAATTTTGGCCAATAACAATTTCTGGCTCTTGCAGACCTTTCATTAATACATCTTTCGGCTTCGTCTCATCTGGTAGAGGATCAGTTTCAAATTTTATTACTATTCTGTTGTCATAATGTGTTTGTTCTATGCGTATGTAGAATTTGTGGAAATCATAGAGTTCCTTCCAGCATGTACCGCAAACACATGACGCCGGTAAAGGACAATCCTTAAATTAAAGATATATTAAACATCTTATTACCCTTCACGGTTTTAGAACAAAAATTACTTACTATGGGCCAGAGATGTTTATCGATTAGGTTCTTGGTATTCAATTCTTCCCATTGGCTTGAACCAACTATAATAGAATTTGATTCGTTTTCCCGTTTCGTTTCCAAACACAGTAGACAATCCATGTTGAATTGTGTTTCAACTGATCTTCTTCATATAGTCGGTAGGTAAAAATTGCTTCCAATTTTGTGTATTTCTTCCAGGTTTTGTAGGAATTACTAGCTTCCGCTCACCTCTGGAAGTGACAGATAATGATAATTCTTTAATCTTATCCTTCTTAGGAAACTGGCCTTAAATACTCCATTGTAATTAAATTTCTTGCAATTTTGTTAATTGTTAAATAGTCGCTTGTCCCAATGGGCTAGGTATCTGTATATATTGAAAAATAAAATGATCAAAATACCGAGTATTGGGAAGTTATTTTGAAATGGGGCTTTAGGAAACGCCAATCAGCATAGATACACTGCAAACTATTGGGCCAAATTTACAGGTGGGTAGTGAGACGGAGGGACAGCGCTAAAATTTGATTTGTATTTTCCTAAAATTATAGCTCTAGCATCATTTGTGACGATTTTTATTTTATTTTAATGAATCCAAAGCGGCTTTTCTCAGTTTATTGCCTTACAATGGGTATAAGGTGGAAGGTTTTTCAATTCCAAAACGATAATTTTTTTTGTTTACATTTTTTCAATTGTTGACGTCCCCCGTAGCTTCCATTTGAACGAGCACAACAAATTAAAACAAAAATCACATAAACTCCACCACTTCACCGTTTACTACGTTTGATGTCAAATCGCGACTGGCATGACATAGGGATACGTAAGTCGACTTAAGATCAATCGATTAATCGACTTTTGGTGTTGAAACTCATTTGTCTGTGGTGAAAATGATAAAGTTGTCTTTTCGTTATCTACTTTCGATTAGGTATGCCGTTTTACATTTCCAGTAGTAGCATGTTTCCATTGGAAACCGAACAAAGTTGTTCGCTCTCAGAATTAGGTACACGAATTAACCCGTTCATACGGCACGATTCGTAATTCATAGTAAAACAATTTCCTTTTTCAAAAATTTTGTTTGTAGATTTTAATGGGAATTTATACGAAAATACATGAAATTCCCACTAATATGAATAGAAGAAATTATTGCTTTCCTCCCAAAGATTTATTATATCAATAATTTTACAATTTTCATTCACGTTTTCAACTTTTTATGCAAATGTTGACATTTTGAACATATTTTTGTGTTTTTCCATTTTTAAATTCTGCTGGAGAGACACTTGTCAAATATTTTTTCTGCCGATAGAAATATTTTGAAAATATTGCCTCTTTTGTTTGCAGTTTTCTGTGGAGAGAAAACAAAACTTACTTTCGTTTGAATGTACATACGCCATTCAACATTGTAGTTTTCATTCATAATTTTCAGTCTTCCCAAAAATTTTTAAAATTTCATTAAATTTTTCTATTTTTAATTTTAAAATGTCATAATTTATTTTTTCGATAAATGCTCTCATTTGTTAGGGATGGGACATATTTTTTCGTTGTTCCATGGTAGAAAAATACAGGTAGATGCATCAACGCTTGGGAACATTGATATGTCAAAATTGTTTAAATTTGTCTATTTTTACCACACAACGCCAATCGGAGGTTGTTATAATATGCATTTTTTTAATAATTTTTACAAATTTGAGTAATTTTTCATTCAAAAATATCGATTCCAAAATTGGTTTGACAGTTCATTGTCCCAGCAGCTGTGTCGAAGCGGGTACCTATATTCTTCTACCATACGTTGTTCTGAGAGTGATTTGATTTGAACAACGTAAAAATAGGAGTGTTCGCTCAGAAAGATTTGTGTGAAGAATTAAGTAGTTATTTCATAATTAAGGGTTAAACAACGAATAGAGAGCGAATCAAGTGCAGTGGAAACGCCACATAAGATTTAGTTTGAAGGTACATAAGAAGCTTGAAGTCATGGCTAGGCATATTTTGTGACATTCATAAAGGAATTACAGAGCGGCCCTAAAATCCTGCCGTCGTTTTCCATTGTAAATTGACATTAATATGCCTAGACATGACTTCAAGTTTTTTATGTACTTGCACCTTTACTTCGACATGTTTTACCCGCGGCATGGTAGAAAAATACATGTTGTAGCATCGACACAGATGCTGGGACAATGAGCAGTAAAACTAATTTTGAAATTGAAAATGTTGAATTAAAAATTATTGAAAATTGTAAAAATTGTTGAAAAATGCATATTATAAAAACTTCCGGTTTGCGTCGTATAAGGAAACATTTAAAAATCTATTTATTTTTTATAAAACATTTTAAAAAATTTGACATATCAATGTTCCCAAGAGTGGATGAATCTACCTATATTCTTCTACCATGCGTTGATGCATCTATCTGTATTCTTCTACCATGACCTGCGGTAACTACATAAAATCAATCGTGGTCCCAGAACCTGCAGTTTTCCAATTTTCTTCGATATCGGTTATCGTACTGCAACAAAGCAAGGGTGTAAATACCTACATCAGGAAAAAATCTGAGAGTTTTTACTAAACTAGAGTTAAGTCAAATAATGGCAATGTTTAATAAGGAATCATGCATTATATAGATAACCGATTTTAATTAAATCAGTGATATCGAAAAAAGTTGCAAAAATACTAGATTCTTCCAGGTTCTGGACCAGAGCAATGATATCGAAGAAAATGGGAAAACTAGTAGATTCTTGCAGGTACTGGAACAGACCAATAGAAACGAAAAAGCTAAGGTACTGGAACAGAGCAATAGTCTCTTAAAATATCACTTCAAAAAGTATTTTTTTTTTTTCAATCCACCTCTCTATGACCGGATAAATTTGATAGCCCATAAGAAATTTCTGTTTTGTTGACCTTGGAAAATCTTTAGAGGTGTAAAACTCCTTCAATTTGGGATTTTCTAAATATCTACACCTGCGGATCCGATAATACTTAAAAACATAGTCAATTGGTCTGTTCCAGAACTGTAAGATTGTAAAAGTTTACACGAATTTAATTTAAAAAGGCAAATATCTTTGGAGAATGCGTTTAAATCTTTCAAAACACCGAGTAGTGGTAGATATCCTTTTATGGGGACTATACAGAAAGTGGGCCTATTTCCCAGTTTCACTGATTTTTATATTGTCTGATGGTCAACACCACAACTCGTCTTTCAAAGCGAAAAATGTTTGTCAATATTTTTTTAATATTTATTTTCTCTATATTACCATAAATTATCAACTAACAATTAAAATTATGATGGTGCTTGATTTACTGTGGCTGGTAATACGGAATTATTGTTACTATTGCTGACTGTCGCCGCGGGTGTTGGTCTTTTATAATTAGGCGGTAAATTTCCGGAATATTTCTTGCGTTGTGCCTCCTCCCATTCAACAGGGTGGGCTTTTTTGCGATGTTGATGCATATTGCCATTAGAATTAAACTCTTTAGGACACCAAGGACATCGATGCAGAGGCTTGCCAGTATGTATAGCCATGTGGGACTGAAAAACAGAAGTAATAAAAATAAGTATTTCAATTACATATTTGAATACGATTTAATGTTTACCTTAAAATTATCAGCTCTTTTGAATTCCTTTTCACAAATTGTACACTTAAAACGATAGCCCATTTCATGGGTTTCATGTATGTGTTTCTTGAGTGCACGCATATTAGGTGAAACCTTAGAACAGATATGACAGTTATATTCACGCCTCTCCGGCGGATGTTTCAGTTCTTTGTGCAGCTTTAACGTGTGATGACTAGTGAGTATTAGACCACATATATCACACTTGGCTGTTTTAACCGGCACAATGCCTTCGTGCTTTTCCATGTGCCTTTTGAAGTTATGCGAATCGGGTAATGTTTCGCCACATATTTCACACACTTTAGCATATATATTGAGATGAACGGCCTTTTGATGTTGATTAAGTATATATTCGTTGGCGTAACTGGAAAAAAGAAGAGATGCATTTTATTCCTTTAATCAATGATTGAAAATTTGTATATATGGTTTTAATGACTATTAGAACAGTAATGTTTTTTTTTTTTTAATATTTTTCAGGGACTTTTAGAGTAATAATTGAAGATTTTCTAAACAATATTCTGGAGGGATTTAAAGAGTAATAATTGTCGATTTTTTACCATATTTTTGAAGACTATTGTAGCAATAATTTAAGGTTTTTTAAACATACTAGAGGGACTATCTGAGCAGTAATAGTGGATTTCTAGACAATTCTTTTGATAGACAATATTTTTGAGGGACTATCAGAGCAGTGATCCTGGATTTTTTAACAATATTCTTGAAGCAATTCTAGACAATCTTCTTGAAGGACTATTATAGCAGTAATTTAGGGAGCAAACAGAGTATTAGAAAATATTTAACAAGATTTTGTAACAATAAAGAAAGTTACACATACAATTTACCACAATCATTGCAGGGGAACTTCTTCTCCGACTCCGGCAGATGTGTTAACTTATGTTTGTCTAGCTTATGTTTTAGTACGAATTTCTTATCGCACTTATCACAAGCAAATTTCTTTTCTTCATGCATTTTCATATGACCAATAAGACATATGCGTTTGGTTAGAACTTTCCCACAGAGATTGCACTTAAAATACTCCGGATCAAGGTGATAATTGATGTGATCCACCAAAAGACGTCGATTAAAGAATTTCGTTGCACAACACATGACATAGCCCTGTTCGTTGTGCTCTTGGCTAAAATGTTGGCAAAGCAAACGGAAACGTTCAAATGTTTTCTGACATTTGTCACATGTCATCTTAAAGTGTTCCTGTAGGAATTTATCATATTCTACACGATTGATTTTTGGAAGTGTGGAAGTTTGACGATTTGTGGATCGTTTGGAGCACGAAGTGTTCTTTTTTGTGGATTTTGCCGATCTTTTCTTTCGCTTTCTGCCATTGTCTTCGAGCTTTTCTTCATGATCATCATTGTCAACATCTTTTGTTTTATTGTTTTTCTTTGATGATTTTTTGCTTTGCTGGATTTTTACTTTGTGTATTAAAGGTAAATCATCATCACTATCTGTGTGGTCATCCTCTTCACCATCATTATCGCTAAAATTGGAATCACTGTTGTTATCAATAAATTCCATTGGATCCTGTTCATTTTCAAAAATATCGCCAGAATTTTCTGAAATATCTTGTTTGTTTTCCACATCCCCAACATCATCATTGCGTTTCAAAATGACCGCAATAGGTTCATCATGCTCCTGTTTAATTTCAATGGGTTCATCTAAATGTTGACCAATAACTATTTCTGGTTCTAGCAGACTTTTCAATAAGACATCTTTTGGCTTCGACTCATCTTGTAAGGGATCAGCTTCGGCTTTCAGTACTAGTCTATTGTCATTATGTGTTTGTTCTATGCGTATGTAGAATTTGTGGAAATCATAAAGTTCTTCCCAGCATGTGTCGCAAACGCAGGATGTCGGTAAAAGGGATTCCTTTAAATAAAGATATATTAAGCTCTTATGACCCTTCGCGGTTATAGAACAAAAACTACTTACTATGGGCCAGAGATGTTTATCGATTAGGTTCTTGATATTCAATTCTTCCCATTGACTTGAATCAACTTTAATATATCTCGATTCGTTCTCCTGTTTCGTTTCCAAACACAATAAACACTCCATATTAAATTGTATTCCAAATGATCTCCTTCAGACAGTCGATATGTGAAAACGGCTCCCAGGTTTTGTAGGACTTACTAGCATCCGCTTAACTCCGGAGGAAACTATTACAGCTGCTTTCCCTAAATTATAGTTCTTTAATACTATTCTTTTTAGAAAATTGGTCTAAAATAGTCCATTGTAACTAACTTCCTTTGAGCATTGTTATTTGTCAAAGAGCCGCATCCCTAAAAGGAAAGTAATATAAATTAGTTAGGATTTCCTTTTAATTGGTCGTATACTCACGTTGTTCCATTTTCAATGTTAAGCGTATAGTTCTGAAGTTAATTGTAGTGCATTTTCTTTCAATAAACCGTATTAAAGCTCCTAATGCTAACAATGTAACTTTTCAATGAAAATAAACAATTTGCTAAGCCATTTGACAGATGTGTGTGGATGTCAACAACAGAGTACACTTCTAGTTGGAAATTATTTCTGTACCTTAATGCCAGCGTATAACGTATCGATTTAATATCGCATAGGTGGATATTAAGGTGGGAATACATAAAACGCTTTTCGACTGGCTTAAGTCATCGGCGGACTTCTTCGTAGAGGAACAAATGAGTTTTAGGTTAACTTAGATCGATTTTGGCGCTACGTTCATTTTTCTTTTCCGATAAAGCCAGCCGATGACTTAAGCCATCCAAAAAAGAGTTTTATGTATTTTCACCTTAACCCAGCTGATCGTTTATATTAACTATCCGAACACTTACTGTTACTAGAACTCATGGTAGAAGAATACAGGTAGTCGCATCGACACAGCTGCTGGGACAATGAACTGTCAAACCGATTTTGATATTGAAAATCGTGAATGAAAAATTATTGAAATTTGTAAAAATTGTTGAAAAATACATATCATTACAATCTCCGATTTGCGTCGTATAAGAAAACATATAAAAATCGACTTATTTTTTACAAAGCACTTAAAAAATTTTCACATATCAAGCGTTGATGCATCTTATATTCTTCTACCATGGTAGAACTATACTACGAAAGTTAATCAAAGAGTAAGCAAAACGTAAACACATTTTGACATTAAGTATGATAGATACCCAAGGCCTATAAAATATTATATTTGGAAAATCCTCATATTCATGGCCCAATTATAAGATCCCCCTTCAAAGGCAGCAAGGCATGACATATACAGGGTGAGATGAAAAAAACTGCAACCAACTTCATACAGCTGTTTTTTCTAAGCTACTCGTCCGACAGCTGTTAACATTATTCCAGTGACTGCTTATTATATTGTTTACAAGCGTACAAAAGCATTTTGGTGAGAATTTTCCAGAAAAAAAGTTATTCGTGATGGAATTCAAGCGTGATTTCTTTATATTTGGCTGCAAAACTACAAGTGGCTATCGTTAGAGCACTCCAGTATTTAAATGAGAATAAATCTTTTGTGTCTTGAACCATCGCTCGTTACCGTGATACTGGTAGCGTAGCCCGACGTCAAGGAAGTGGATGGAAAAAATAGCAACATCAGCAGGTCAGCAACGCAGTGGCCGAAAAATGGCTCATGAGCTGAACATAGCGCAATATTCCATTCGTCAAATATTGAAAAAATGAGCTCGGGGTAAAGCCATTGAAAGTGCAGGAACTTACACCGCATTAGAAAGAAAATAGACTCAAAAGAGCTAATGAGTTGCATCGCTTGGCCGAAAGAGGTGAACTGCCGAATTTGGTTTTCTTCGATGAGAAAACATTCGTTGTTCAAAATTAAAAAAAAAAAATGTACAAATAATGGCGTCTGACTTTTTGAAGTTTTTTCATCTCATCCTGTATAATGTCGGCCATTAAACCCATGTGACAACTGATGGCCTGTTCCAGAACCTGCAAGAATCTAAAAGTTATGCAATTTGCTCCGATATCCTCTATGATATCGAAGAAAATTTCAAAACTAGTAGATTCTTGCAGGTAACCAAAAAAACGGCTAGAGAATCCAACTACAGTAGCGTGCTTAAATAGATGAAATTGAGTAATTTCATTGCGTTTACATGAATGGAGACTTCCTGGATTTCTGGTTTAACAAATATACAATGGTCTGGAAAGTTGAAATCCTTGGCATATCATGGACTTCTTAAAAGTTTATTGGGATTCTACATTTTCAAGTTACCGACGAAATTAATACGCAGAAATATGAATGAAAAGTCTAAATGAAAGAAACATTTAATATCGGCAGAACTTAGCGATTACTTCATTTTAGTCGCTAACTTGCCGAGAAATTTCGTTAATTACCGAAACTATAAGCATTTTCATTTCAGTGAATGTTGTTGCTAATAGCAATACAGAACTATAAACATGTATTTTGTACATATTTTAAAGGGACCATCAACGTTATAATAGATTATGTTTTACTATATGACGAAAACTATTAAAATGTCGAATAGCCCTTTTTAAAGGGTCTATACCGTTATGTGTGCCCACACCCCTGGCCCTTAGTAAGGAGGTTTAAATAACATATAAATGCTCAAGTTTTTATTATTGTTTGATAGTCAGTACAACATGACTCTCTTTTTGTAAGCGAAACTGGTTTTTTCTCTGTGGAATGCATTAGATTATAGAGAACTTTATTTCTCCCATTATATTTATTTTCTGAATAATTATTTGGAATTATGTTGGTGCTTGATTTGCTGTGGCTGATAATGCAGAGTTATTACTGTTGCTGGCTGGTGTTTCTCCTTTATAGTTTGGCGGTAAATTTCCTGAATACCTTTTACGTTGAGCTTCCTCCCATTCCTCGGGATGAGCTTTCTTGCGGTGTATATACATATTACCATTAGAATTGAACTTTTTGGGACACCAAGAACATTGATACATAGGCTTGCCGGTATGTCGAGCCATGTGGCACTGAAAAGCAAAAGTAACAAACAATAAGCATTTCTATTACATTTTTGAATTTCACATTTACCTTAAAATGATCTGCTCTTTTGAATTCCTTTTCGCAAATTGTACACTTAAAACGATAGTCCAGTTTATGGGTTTCATATATGTGTCTCTTAACGGCACGCATATTTGTACAAACCTTAGAACAGATATGACAGTTATATTCACGCCTCTCCGTTGGATGTTTCGCTTCTTTGTGCAGTTTTAGCGAATGACGGCTGATGAGCATGAGGCCACATATATCACATTTGGATCTTTTAACTCGTCCAATGCCTTCATGTTTTTCCATGTGTCTATTAAAGTTACGCGAATCGGGAAATTTTCTACCGCATATTTCACATACTCTGTAATAAATACGGAGATGTGCGGTTTTGTAATGTTGATTACGTATGACTTCGTTGGCATAGCTGGAAAAAGATGATAAGCATTTTACTAATTTAATTAATAATTGAAAAAGGAAGTGTGGAATATTTAACAATTCTTGTCGAGGGATGGACTATCAGAGCTATAAGTGTGAATATTTGCAAACTTTTTTTCACATTATACAGGAAAAAGCGGTTATCGAAGAATCATTATTACACTTTTGCAATTTCTTGGATTTTTAAAGTTGTTAGAGGAATTATCATAACAATAATTGTGGATTGTTAAAAAGTAGTTTTGGGGGGACTATTAGTGATTCAGTATGGGATTTTATATAATTATTTTTGAGGCACTATATTCGTGTATTTAAACAAAAATTTTAACAATAGTTTTGAGGGACTATTAAACCAGCAAACTTCTCTGTGAGAATATTAGTTATGTAGACATTAATTTTTTAAGTAATATTTTTTATGGAAACTACCAAAACCATAAAGTTAACTTTTTAACAATATTTTTTGAGGGTATAACATAGATAAATTCCTTTTTTTTTGCGTAATATTTTCCTTAAGGCTATGCGAAAATAACAAAGAATTACACATACAATTTACCACACTCATTGCAGGGGAACTTCTTCTCCGACTCCGGTAGATGTGTCAACTTATGGTTGTCCAGTTTGCGTTTTTCCGCGAATTTCCAATCGCATTTATCACAAGCGAATTTCTTCTCTTCATGCATTTTCATATGATGATGTAGATATTTGCGTTTAGCAAAAACTTTACCGCACACTTTGCACTTTAAATATTCCGGATCAAGATGATAATTAATGTGATCCACCAGAAGACTGCGATTAAAGAATTTCGTATTGCAACACATGGCATAACCCTGTTCGTTGTGTTCCTGGCTAAAATGCTGGCAGAGCAAACGAAAGCGGTTAAATGGCTTCTGACATTTATCACATGTCAGCTTAAAGTGTTCAAATAGGAATTTGTCATTGCTACTTGCGAATCGTTTACTACATGATCTGATTTTTTGGGAGGCATTTGAGGAGCTATTCTTTCGCTTTTTGTCATTGCCTTTATCTTCATTATCATCATTGTTTGCCTCTTTTGTTGTATTACTATTCGATGTTATTTCTTCGGAATGTTGATTGTTTGTTTCATGTATTAGAGATGAATGATCTTCATCACTATCTGTTTGATCATCTTCTTCATTGTCATTATCACTAGAATTGGATTCACTTGAATAGTAAATAAGTTCCAATGGATGCGGTTCATTTTCGTTGTCCTCATCTTCATCATACTCTCTATTGTCTACCACGACCACAAAGGGTTCATCATGCTCCTGTTTAATTTCGAAGGATTCATTTAAATGTTGACTAATAACATTTGCTGGCTCTAGCAGGCTTTTCAATAAAACTTCTTTTGACTTCGACACATTTGGTAGATGCTCTGCTTCCAATTTTATTACTATTCTGTTGTCATTATGTGTTTGTTCTAAGCGTACATAGAATTTATGGAATTCATAGAGTTCTTCCCAGCAGCTGCCGCAGACACATGATTCCGGTAAAAGGGATTCCTAAAAAGGGGTAATGTTTTATGTTAATACTCTTCACAATTACAGAACAAACACCACTTACTATGGGCCAGAGATGTTTATCGATTAAGTTCTTGATATTTAACTCTTCCCATTGCCACGAACCAACTTTAATGCACCTTGATTCATTCTCCAGTTTCGTTTCCAAACACAGTAAACAATCCATATTGAATCACAAATCAAATGATTTGTAAAGGATGGTTGGAAGGATGACTCCAATGTTTATTCCTTGTTAGTGAAATAGTGCTGTCAAAATATCGATGTTACTATCGATAATTTTAGGTTAAAACATGTTCACATATGCGATTTTTCATCCACTTGATTTGCAAGCGATATTGTATCGAAAAAAATGCATAATTTTGTATATTCTTGCAGGTTCTGCAAGGGAACAATTATCTGGTCTGGTATTTTTAGTATAGTTAATCATAAGTGTTAGGTTGAGGATTATTTCCTTGGCGATCTTTTGTCATCCATAAATGACCGTGGACCAAGCGTAAAATTTGATTGTCGATTGCAATATATTTATAATCGAAACCAACTCCATAAAACAGTTATCGACAGTCATTTACAAAAACGATTCCACTGCAACCATTTCACTGCAGAACAATTAAATAAATTTTGTAAACATGGTAAATATGATGTGTTTGCTGTGCCTGAAGACACTGGAAGACAAAAACAGATGTATTGAAATAAATTCTAGCCCGTGGCTGGAATTCGAAATTGAAATGTTAATCGATAAACATCTATGGTCAATGGTAAGTAATACGTTCTACTAGACCATATGTATGACTATATTCTGGACATTACCGTACGGTGCTATTTTCCACTATGATTAAATAAATATATATGCAAATATATTTGCTCTGTTCCAGAACCTGCAAGAATCTACCACTTTTGCCATTTTATTCGATATCATAAAGGGAAAATAGATTATCGTAGTAAACATGTTTACATTCCTGCAGTTCTGGGACAGACCAACTATTGGGAGGGATTTTACGATACTGACAATTTGGAATACCTTTAAATGTTGTTTAGTTGGGGGACAGAACTTAAGACAAATACAGTTAACAGTGTTTAGTATATGTTGGAAACAAGTCAAATATGTTGCACATGTATCCCTTGGGGTCCTGTTTACAATCAAGTAAGATATTACAAATGTACCTAGGTTTGGTCCTCATGGCTACATCGTTTATCACCAAAATGTGAAGTTGCGTTATGGTGGACCATATATTGCACATTTTTTGAGAAAAACAGGTCGGTCCACGAAAAAAACCAAATATCACATTACAGCTGATTTGGTTGAAAAACGTGGCCCAAGCATTTAAGATGCCGGGGCTATACCAAAAAGTAGGTCTGCATTATATATATATATTGTGAGGAGAAAACCTAACCACAGAATGTAGTCTTAGCTCCATAGAATTCTTGCAGAAGTAAAGTGCGACAAGCAGCCTCGCAGATACTTCTATCCCATTGTGAGCCAATGACGAAAACTAGGGCTCCTGTTTGATGTCATAATTTGTACAATTTACCTGGAAATGATTTCGAAATGCATTGCTATGTGCGTCGCTGATTTGAGCTGTTGGTCGAGATTATCATCGAGGTACCTGGTTCTAGAATGATTAACCAGCTTGGCCAACAAAAACTGTGATTCTCTCTTTGTTTGTGGTTTGTACAGTGTGAGAGGAAAAACTGCAACAAAGTTAAACGGCATAATTTTTACATTTTTTTAAATTTTATTGAATAAAAGCAAAAATGTCGGAAATACAATCAGATTTTAGAATAAGTTTAGGTTTGTTCGAATTGGTCACCTTTGACACGAATTATGGCCCTCAAACGCCCAATGAAACCGTCACACGCTGTCCGTATGTTGCTCTGCGGTATTTTGGACCATTCCCGGCGAAACGCTTGCGTACCAACCTTGCTTTCCAAAGTACTCTAAACACAATAGCCCAACGGATGGGTATCCGGAGATTTTGGTAGCAATTGTGCGCTGGAAATAAAGCGAGGAACTTCATTTTGTAACCATTCTTGGGTGGCGCGTGCTGAGTGCGATGGTGCTGAGTTCTCTTGGAATGTCCAAAATGCGTCCAAAATGTTTGCGTGCCCAAGGCTTTATTTAATACACCCTCCAGAATATTTTCGCGATAGTATTCAACATTTATTCTGATGCCACGGTCGGTTAATATGAGCGGAGAGCGTCCATCGGCTGTTATGGCGGCCCACACCATCACCATTGCCGACGCTTGAGTTCTGGTGGCCAACCGAAGATGCACATTTTTAGCAGAACTTTTTGGCAAGTAAACACAATAATTTTGTTTGTTTACAAACTGCTGGACTACCAATGTTTTCTCATCGGAGAAAACAAAATCGGCAGTTCAACACTTTCAGCCAAGCGAAAGTCTGCGGCGGTGTATGGTCTTGCACATTTTGGAATTTCAATGGCTTTACCCCGATCTCATATTTTAATATTTGCCGAATGGAATATTGTGATATATTCAGATCACGAGCCATTTTTCGGCCACTGGGACGCGGGTTTCGATCAAGTCGCTTCATTATTTTTCGGACCATTTCTGCTGATGTTGCTATTTTCTTCCGTCCACTTCCTTGACGAGTGGTTTAGAAATGACAGCAGTCTGAAGTTGGTAGTAGTTTTTTCATCTCACCCTGTGGAAAGATTGTGTGGATCTGATAAGGCCTGTAGTAGTTACCAAATAAGTCTCTGGGAATTTACGTGACAACTCGAATTTTTGGATTATATTCTTTAATTAATGGCAACAATTCTTCAAGAAAGAGCTCTTGCAATTCTTACTTCTCGTCAATATATTCTTTTTTTGCACCTTTGAATATAAGAGCAGTCAAAGTTTTTAAAAGAGGATATATATAAATAATTATTATTTTTTTATTTATTTAAAGGGACCACTCTTAACGACAGCTTCATGTATTTGTTCCAATTGCTGGGATAAGCTGTATGATTTTCACAAGTTTTACAAACACATAGAGGGAACACATGAACTATTAATAAAAACGGAACAATGCTACGATTCAGATGATAGTTTGCCGAAAACCTTGGATGACAATGGAAATACAAATGATCAACATTCAGAAAGTTCCATTGAAATTAAACAAGAACCATCAGAGCTTCTTGTTGCCTTGACAAGAACAAATAGCATTGATTCCTATAACATGGAGAATGACTTTGAAAACGAAGAAGACTTTTTGGGATTTTCGGATGAGAGCAATAATCCATTCGATGGCGGTAGGATGATAATAAAAACCGAACCATACTGTATGCATATGTACGATTATGAAATTGTTGGTGAACAAGACTCTACAGATTCCATCATCAGACCTCAAGAAAATCAAGAGCCTATGGAAGTCTTGGCAAATAATGAAAGTACGCCAAGTACGGAAGATGAAGATGATTCATTGGAATATAGCTACTCTAGCGACAAATCCAAAGACAACGATTCAATTCATACTGACAGTGACGACGACTCACCACCACTGGTATTGAAAACTCCAAAGGAATGCCAGGCAAATCCTGCCAAGAATGTAAACAAACAATTTAAACTAAATAAAGACGAAGACAGAATCACAGTTAATAAGGTAATAAGTCCGACAAATAAGCGACAAAAAATGGATGAAGGCGAGGACGCGAAAAGATCCAAGACGCGAGCAAGATCTAATGAAGAATGGGATGAATTACTTCATAAATACTTTAACATCAAATGCCATAAATGTGATACAATTTTCGCCAACTTTGACTTGCTTCGCACACACTTCAGTCAAAAACACAACGAATTATGCTATATAATGTGCTGCTCTACCAAATTCTTTAAGCGGAGTGAACTGATAGATCATGTAAATATTCACCTCGATGCGGAATATTTTAAGTGCAATGTTTGTTCGGAAATTTTTGACGATCGTCAAAAATTAAATGTCCACAAAAAAATACACGGGAAAACATTCGTGTGGTCTTGTGATATATGTCATGAGAAATTCCCCTCAAAACGAAGTCGAAAGGTCCACGAGCAGATGCATGTTCAGGAACAATTTCATGGCTGTCATGATTGTGGTAAAATGTATGTATTGTGCTTTTATCTAACAACTTTTGATTTGTATATCTCATTGTGCTTTTATACGTGGGCTTGTAAGGGGCACAAGGACTTTTGGATAATGAGCACATTACACTCAAACTTGGTACAACGTAATATTATTGTCAAACTTAGATCGAGTCTGCAGATGGGCCATATCAGTCCACTCCTGTTACCTCCCACAGAAAATGTCAAAATTTTCAAAGAAAATAATTATCTGCATACAGAGAAAAGAGATAATCTGATTTTGCTTAAACTTTGCAAATCCTAATATTTGCATCAGTGCTCCATCCAGTACCTCCCCTATAAAGGGTGAACATTTTTAATAATTTTTACTCTAATAAAATGTGATATAAGTGTCGAATTGTCTGAAAATAACACACATCACAATATTGTACAGGGTGAGATAAAAAAAACTGTAACAAAGTCAAGCGTCATATTTTTACATTTTTAAGTTTGAGGATAAGTTTAGATTTGTTCGAATTGGTCACCTTTGGCACGAATATTGGCCTTCAAACGGTCAATGAAACCGTCACACGCTGCCCGAATGTTGCTCTACGGTATTTTAGCCCATTCCCGGCGAAGCGCTTGCTTGAGGTGATCGGCACTTTGGTATTTTTTAGTGCCAACTCTGCTTTCCAAAATACTCCAGACACAATACTCTAACGGATTTATATCCGGAGATACGCTGGAAATGAAGCGAGGAACCTTATTTTGTAACCATTCTTCGGTGGCGCGTGCTGAATGTCCAAAGTCAGCGACCAAAAAAAAAAAAAAAATATGCGGCATTTATTCTGATGCCACCGTCGATTAATATGAGCGGAGAGCGAGCATCGACAGTTATGGCTGCGCACACCATCACCATGGCAGACCCTTGAGTTCTGGTGGCCAACTGAAGGTGCACATTTTAAGCTGACCTCTTTGGCAAGTAAACTCGATATTTTTGTTTGTTTACAAACTGCTGGACAATGAATGGTTTCTGATCGTAGACGAAGAAACCCAAATTCGGCAGTTCACCACTTTCGGCCAAGCGAAGTAACTATTTAGCTCTTTCGAGTCTATTTTCTTTCAGTGTCAGTGTAAGTTCTTGCACATTTTGGAATTTCAACTGAAGGTGCACATTTTAAGCTGACCTCTTTGGCAAGTAAACTCGATATTTTTGTTTGTTTACAAACTGCTGGACAATGAATGATTTCTCATCGGAGAAAACCAAATACGGCAGTTCACCACTTTCGCCCAAGCGAAGTAACTATTTAGCTCTTTCGAGTCTATTTTCTTTCAGTTGCGGTGTAAGTTCTTGCATTTTTTGGAATTTCAATGGCTTTATCCCGAGTTCATTTTTCAATATTTACCGAATGGAATATAGCGATATGTTCAGCTCACGAGCCAATTTTCGGCCCCTACGACCCGGGTTTCGATCCAGTCGCTTCTTTACTTTTCGAACAATTTCTGCTTATGTTGCCGTTTTTTGCCGTCCACTTCCTTGAAGTCGGGCTACACTACCAGTATCACGGTAACGAGCGATGGTACAAGACACAAAAGATTTATTCACATTAAAATGCTGGAGTGCTCTAACGATAGCCACTTGTGGTTTTCCAGCCACATATAAATAAATCACACCATCACGCTTGAATTCCATCACTAATAACTTTTTTTCTGGAAAATTCTCACCAAAATGCTTTTGTACGCTTGTAAACAATAAATGAACTTGCACTGGAATAATTTTAACAGCTGTCGGGGCTATGAAATGACAGCAGTCTGAAGTTGGTTGCAGTTTCTTCGCCTCACCCTGTATTTAGGTCCGATACAAAATGGACAATATTGACCCATTTTTCGGAGGATCAACAATTTCAGAAATCACAACAAAAATCAAAATATATTAAAATAATCGAACATTGGCTGAGGGTATACATCTGTGGGAAAACCGGCTGATACTTTTTAACTTGTTATTTACAATATCGTAAAATTTTCAAAACTAGTATTTTACTTCATTTTCTAGAACTGATCATTTATTTTAATATGATAGCAAATGAATACTTTCAGTATTCTGCATAAACTCAATTATGAAAAGTCCATCCATATCATTTTTGAAAAACACTTTTAAAAAATATGTACTTGTATTTATTTCTTTAATTATTGGAAATGTTTTTTCTGATTCAAGGGATGGAAATTATAAAAAGAAACAAAAAGAAACAGAAATAAACAAAAGAAAAATGATTCGCTATAACACTGATGTCATGAATCTACCGGACAAAGAGTAAGTTGAAAATAGTAGCATACATTTTGTCAAGCCAGTTAAATTGTTCTCCTTCAAGGTTTGAGAAATATTTCCGCCTAACAAAAAAAGCTTTCACTTATGTGCTGGAAGCAATTTCTCCTGAGTTCAAAATTGCGTACAGGTCAAGTGGTGTGTCTAATAAACTAAAGTTGGCTGCCACTTTATTGTTTTTGGGACAAGGATCGTATCAGCTCGGAGTCGGTAGTGACTTCAACCTAGGATTGTCGCAGCCGACTGTAAGTAAAGTTCTGGCGGAGACTCTGAGTGCGTTAGAAAAGACCATTTGTCCAATTTGGATCAAACTTCAAATGAGCGAAAAAGAAAAAATGAAGGCAAAAGAACATTTCTTTGAAAATCATGGATTTCCTGGGGTGATTGGTTGTGTGGGTGGAACGTACATTAAAATTAAAGCTCCTGCCAAAGAGGTGCGGCATATGTACAACAATCGTAAGGGCGTTGCTAGTTTGAATGCTATGGTTGTAAGTATTTTTTTTTTTATTTTTGTAAAATAAGATAAATTTAAACATATTTTTATAAAAATTATCTTAAATCAGATATGCGATCATAATATGCATATACGCTTTTTGGATGCTCGGCATGGTGGCGCTACCCCCCACCACTTAATTTGGAGTTCAAGTAAAGCAAACACATTTTTTAAGGAACTTTATGATACAGAACACCGCAACTATTGGCTTTTAGGTAAAAAATGCATATGAAACATGCCTATAGTTATAGAATATTATCTATTTGCTCTACAGGAGGTTCGGAGTATCCTCTCGAACCATATCTAATGATTCCATTTGCTCGTGCTGAGGATGGCAGCGCAGAGGCCATATACAACACAAAACATTCAAAAGCCAGACACATTATGGAACGCACAATCGGAGTGCTTAAGAACCGATTTCGGTGTCTTTTTGGTATACGTCCGCTTTATTATGAGCCCAATAAAGCCCAGCAAATTGTAAATGTATGCGCAGCGCTACATAATATCTGCATACAATATGGCTCGAACCCCCTTAACGACGAGGATATGGTATCATTGGAAAAAAATGATGAAAATTTAGAACAAACCATTTTAGATAGTTCTATAAATGAAGAAGCATCAGCAATACGGGAAAAAATAAAGCTAAGTTTCTTGTAATTCAATTTTTTTTTTTTATTTTATTTTTTTTTCGTTTAATTAAATTTAAACAATTGAATTTATTGGTTTGGTTTGGTCTAAGGGCGTCGACCACTTTTTCACTCGGAGAAAAGGTTGAGTTTAAAGATATAAGTATAGTTAGCTGGGTGGTTTGTCTTTGCTTTTAGCAAACTTTTAAAATATGTAAAATATGTGGGATATACTATATCGTGCACCTACAGGGTGAGATGAAAAAACTGCAACCAACTTCAGACTGTTGTCATTTCTAAGCCACTCGTCCGATAGATGTTAAAAGCATTCCAGTGACAGCTCATTATATTGCTAACAATCGTACAAAATCATTTTGAGAGCATGGTCCGCTGTCCGCTCGTATAAATCGACCGTGGCATCAGAATAAATGCCGAATTAAATAAAGCCGAATTAAATAAAGCCTTAGGCACGCAAACATTTTGGCCGGATACCTTGGACATTGCAACAGTTCTCAGCACCATCGCACTCAGCACGCGCCACCCAAGAATGGTTACAATCACCTCAAGCAAGCGCTTCGCCGAGGGCAGCGGGTGACGGTTCCACTGGCCGTTTGAAGTCCACAATTCGTGCCAAAGGTGACCAATTCGAACATATCTAAACTTATTCTAAAATTTAATGCTAATTCCGAAATTTTTTGGTTCATTCAGTAAAATTAAAAAAAAAAAATGTAAAAATTATTATATTTTCAAAATCAATGTTTGGAAGCGTACATTGCAGGGCGAGTTTTAAATATATTAACCGGAATTACAAGATTGTACACTGTGGATCGTATTTATGAAAGAATATCTAGCCATCTCATTTTTCTCTTATCCTCTTAAAATTAAAAAAAAAAACATATCAAATAAATGAAAACAATTTGTTCCATACACCCTACACCACAAGGTGGTGAGGATATTATGTCTTTGTGCATTTGTTTGTAACAGGCAAAAGGAAACGAGAGAGAGAGACATAGTTCCCCTGGATGATCTGCATAGAATCACATTCTGAGTCGATTTATGCATGTCCGTCCGTCTGTCTGTCCATGTATTTTGGTAAACAAAGTACAGGTCGCATTTATTGTCCGATCGAAACGAAATTTTGCATAAATCATTTGTTTGACCAAAGGACGAACCCTATCGAAATACAGCTCAGAAATACCTTTGCCAAATTTTATCGAGATCGGTTCAGATTTGGATATAGCTCCCATATATATTTTCGTCGATTTGTTTTTTTTTTTTTTTGGTCACAAACGTGTAATATTAGCCCAAATGGGATGAAATTTAGCACTTACTTGTTGAATTTGTCCTGCACCGCCGTAATAGTAACGATATTCTGGGAAATATATCAAATTCAGTTTAGAAATATCCTTGTCAAATCTTATAGAGATCGGTTCATATTTGGATATATCTCTCATATATATCTTTATCCGATTTCACGTTTATTAGGATATATTTTGATAAATATCGGTTGAGACACAAATGTCTACCTCAAAATTTAGTTGAATACGACGAAACCCTGCTGTTTTTAACTTTACCTTTAACCTTTTTGTATAATTTATTGGATATTTAATTGTAATTTTATTTCATGTGTTGTTTTATTGGTATTCAATTCTTTGTTGTTTGTGTGTATGTACAATTGTTTCATTCGTTTAATGTATAATTTTTGTTTGTTGTAAATTGATTTGTCTAATTTAGAATTTATTTTATGTTAATTATGTACAATTTTGTAATTCAATTTGTTTGGTGTTTGTACAATGTTAATGTTGTTTTTTTTTATAATGTAATGTTGTGTAATGTAATTTTAAAAAATAAACTAAAATGTCACTTCTTTTTTCACTGGGCACTTGTCGATGATTTTCGCGGGCACTTGTCGCTTCACGGGGCACTCGATGATTTTTATGTTGTCGCTCTAAAGATGGTTGACGAACTGACCGGGAATATTCTGGCTTTGGGCTGCCAGAGCTGTTGAATATTCCAGGATTTATTGGAAAGTGCTTGGCTAGCGGCAGCACGTATGCATGTATTTGTTAATATGCACCAATGTACATATTGTGTACCGCTAGCCGAAAAATTTAAAATTCAAACGCACAGTAGCGACCAAAAGTATGGTCACTGACCATACATTCTCCGCCCCCATGACTCCGTGCTAATATGCGTCTTTTTACATCGATGGCATGTTCCTAATTGGTCCAGCGAAGACATATCCCAGGTTAGTGTTGTACGCCTGAACATCACCCACTCCAGCCGCGGTACATCCATCTTTTCTTATGGCAGAATACGTGTCTGCGCCTAATTCCAAGTCTATGGGTACATTGCTTCTAGGGTCTGGGTCCGCAAGTGCTTGCTCAGTAAAATATGAGGTTGGGTCATCTAGTATGGGGTCTGAATAAATTCGTCTCGGCAGCTCATCTGTCACAAGAGCATTGACCTTCAGCGCCCATGTTGAATTAGATCGCCGGCTCATTATTTTGAAGGTCGTAAATCGACGATCTTGGTATAAAAATGACCTCAGACCCATCCGTTGGAAGGTAGAGTACCCTATGCGGGACATTACAGCTGACTTACTCAGCAACGCCCGTATCGTATAGTGGGTGTCTATATCTTCGGTGGTAACTCGCAGCATGACAGTGGGTACAAAGACGAGATCCCACGAAAAAGGCGGCTCGTTTATTTGAGCGGGCTGTAGGCTATCCTCGAGTTGTGGCGCCCCATGTAGCATGGTGTGGTGTCGATAATCGCATCGTCGGCAACCCGTAATGCATGGACAATCGGGGGCCAAATGCGATCGTGCCAGACAGTTTCGACAGTATCCCCGCCGCTCAGTGGTTTCGTATCTCTGATACGGAGTTTGGTCTTTAAACCGCTGGCACGAGCTCAGAGCATGGTCCTGCTGACACAGTCCGCAGGAGTACTGCCAATGGCCTGGCCGTGCTCCTCTAGCTCTGGGGGCTGGTCTATTTTCAGAACGGCTACGGTGACTGCGATCAGGACTCCAAATCGTTAGGATCTTCGCTAGCTGGACTCAAGGGTCTAGAGTTAAGACATGCCTCTATGCGGGTTAAAATTGTAGTGAATTCTTCGAAAGTAAAGTTCATTTTTGGCATGCTTTTTCTTAAATGATTTTTAAAGGATTTAACCCCGGCCTCCCACAAGCCACCCATGTGCGGAGCGCCAGGCGGGATAAATTTCCAACTAATATTTTGATGAAAATTGTTTTGAACTGTACTATTTTGTATATTTTTCATGAAGGCTAGTCGATCCCTCTTTAACAGATCAACTGCTCCCACAAAATTGGTCCCGTTATCGGAGTAGATACACGACGGACAGCCCCGTCGGCTAATAAATCTAGAAAAAGCGGCAAGAAAGGCATATGTCGACAAGTCACTTGTGGGTTCCAAATGAATGGCTTTGGTAGCGAAGCAAACAAACAAACAGACATAACCTCTCGTAATGAAGCAGGCTCTGCCAGAATAACTTTTAATATTGAAGGGTCCCGCAAAATCTACGCCTGTATTCATAAAGGGTCTTGCCAAGAGAGTTCGTTCAGGAGGTAGTGATGCCATTATTTGATTCTGTGTGCGTTTCTTGTAAATTAAGCATATTTTGCAATTACGTATTGTTTGTTTAACCAACGATTTTAGTCCGAATATCCAGAACTCGGACCTTAATAATCTGGTCACCAACTGATTACCGCCGTGCAATGTGATCTTGTGAGCAAAATCTACTAATAGTTTGCTTAATATTGCTCCATGTGGGAGTATTATTGGATGCCGTTCATTGTAAGTTAGCGCAGGCGATTGTACTAATCGGCCATTAGATCTCATGATCCCTTTTGAGTCCAAAAAAGGATTGAGTGTCAGTAATGAACTAGAAGACGATATTCGAACTTTCCTTTCAAGTGATTCATAGTCGGCTGCGTAAAAGAATTTCTGGGTATGAATTATGCAAGCACGTTTACCATCCTGAATTTCTTCAGCGGTGAGTTCCATTGAAGAGGTTCTAAGATTTCGTCTATTTATTCCAGTGTTTTTCCAAAATCTTAACGCATATGCATATGATCTGTAAACCCTTGTTAAAAATGAGTAATTTTTTAGAGGGTCACTTTCTTCTTCGAATAGAGTCAGTGCTTTTAGTGTTTTTGCTTCTAAGTTTGTATCATCGGGAATTATATGTGCTGGCCAACGAACTTTAGGTATTTTGAGCCATTGCGGTCCATGCCACCAGAGTGTGTTGTTTATAAGTTCGCTGGGTGGGCATCCGCGACTGGCAATGTCTGCGGGGTTATCCTCAGAGTCTACGTGATTCCATTGTTCGGCTCCACTATTTTCTAAGATATCAGATGTACGATTTCCCACAAAGGCTGACCAATGGCAAGGTGGTTTTTTCAACCAAGCCAGCACGATTGTTGAGTCTGTCCAGTAATGAACCGAAAAGTTTGATATCTGGAGATTGTTCAATATTGTTGATGCTAACTTCGCCAATAGGACGGCTCCACAAAGTTCTAATCTGGGAAGTGAAATTTTTTTGATTGGAGCAACTCTTGTTTTTGCAGTAAGCAAAGACGTTTTGATTTCGTTGTCTTCATTCTGTAGTCGGATATATAATGCTGCTGCATATGCTTTTTCCGAGGCATCGCAGAATCCATGAATTTCTACAACACTATTTTTGGAGTAATTTATCCACCTTGGGACTTTTAAATGCTTAATATCTGCGCTATGTTTAACAAAGTTTTGCCAGTTCAGAAGTGTCATTGTTTTCAGAGTGTCATCCCAGTTTATCTTATCAAGCCAAATTTGTTGCATAACTAGTTTGGCGGTTACTACAACGGGAGCAAGCCACCCACATGGGTCGAATAATTTGGCAATTGTTGAGAGAACTTCCCTTTTTGTATAAGCTCTTTTAATGTCCATTGAGGGTGGAGTGAAATTGAAAAAGTCTCCAGCAATGTTCCAACGTATTCCAAGTGTTTTTGTCGAGGCGTCATCGGAAATATCCAG